GATGCCGGAGTTGATGGCCGCCGCAGGTGGTAGGGTGTGAGGGTTGAGACTTGAGAGGATTGAGGAGTGAGGAGGGAACTCGGGAAATAACCCTAAAGGCTAAACCGAATAAGGGACTAGGATTCGAAAATCGAACTGGTTGGGATATAATTGGTATTTTATTTTTTGTTTTTTTATTTAAAACATTAAAAATAATTAACCCATGAACCGCTGCCCGGGTCGAACGGTTTAGCGGTCCAACTACTCGGGTTAGCGGTTTTTTTACTTTTCAACGTTTTTTTTTTCAAATTTCTGGTTTCTAGTAAAACCGGACCCGGGTGGCTGACCGGTTACCGGTTTTTCCGGTCCGATCCGATTTTGAAAACCATGCATTAAACATAATAGAATCGTGAAATAGGATTCATGTAGCCGATCCCATATACCTAGGATTTTTTTTCTTTTGAAAATGCCCGAAGGCTCATCCATTCAACTACAATCCACAATTACATCAAAGTTCAGGGCAGCCCAAAGAAAGTCGGAAGGGTTGGACCAGGTCTTAGGGGAATTACAATTGAAAGCAAATCTTGCTAGTTGGTGAATTGCCTTATTACAAGATCTAGGGGTAAAGATAACTGTGGAGTTTTTGAAGGTGATAGAGAAACCTCTTGCAAGAAAAAATGAGCATAAAACACACTCCATGGAGGATTTGGGATGATCCCAAAAAATAGTCAACAATCAGCTTAGTATCACACCTTCAAAGATAATCGAGTGTAGACCAAGTTGCAAGGCATACTTAATGCTTCCAAGTAGAGCCAAGGCTTTAATGGTTAATGTCAGGGAAGCAATTGTTGGAAAGACTCAAGCAAACATTGGTATTGTGGGTATCACCATCAACACCAATGTATTAGCCAATTAGGCAAGGCTCGATTAGGATAATCATTATTAGTTCGAATGCATAGGTCAGATTTGAACCAAACAAGCACTATTGTCGAACGGTAAAGGAATATATGCTTAGGTATTTCCTCAGCCTCATTCCAAAAGGGTCAACGTGTATCAATATGTTTTTAGATTCTTTTCAAATGAGACCAAGTACGAAGGATGTTATGTATGTTACACCATATGAAAATCTGGAATTTTGGACTTGCGACTTTTAATTTTGTGGATTCCATCTCTTCCAAACGGAATACCCAAAATCTAAACAGAATCCTAGATCCAAAGCATAGGCCTTACTGCAAAGGATCTCATTTCTTCTTCTGGTACATGGGACCATTAGAAACTTGTATCCTTATTCACAAGACATGGTATATTGCATATTCTGCAAACATTAAACTCTCACCACCTCTTGTTGGACAAGCTTCATTTGAAGAAATCAAAATCTGGAGATTATGGTGTTAAAGCGGGTTACAAATTCTTCACAGATGCCCAACCGTCCTCTTTTGGACACCAAATAAATTGGAATCTCATATGGAAGTGCAAAGTTCTAATGAGATTTCAAGTCTTTATGTGGAAGGCCTAGTGGAATGACACCAAGACCAAAGATAAAAGCACACTTTCTAAATGAAGAAGAGAAGAAGTGCTCTTTGTGCCATACAACCACTGAAACATGGCAGCATGTCTTCTTTGAATGTGCTTATTCTCGAGTTGTTTGTATCTTAGCCCACCTGGGCATAAATCCAAATAGAATTCATAATAAAGTCCTTCATGAATTCCTGTCTCAGTGGATTGAGTTCAAACTAAATGACTTAAATAGATATGCGAAACAATCTTTTATTGTCAAGTTCTTTATCCTCTTTAGACTCATATGGGATATGAGGAATAATGCATCCTTGCACAGTAAGCCTATTTGGAACCCATTACAACTAATGGAAAGTAGTTATTACCTTTAAACAAAGCAATGCAAAACACACACCCGAGCTTTATTCAATCCCATATCAACTCCTCAACAAAATATAAAATGTTTATTGATGGGTCCTTCATATCTATAACTGTGTTGGAAGAAACAGGAGTTGCAATTTTCTCAGCAGATGATGTTATAGTATTTACAGAAAGCAACAGAGTTACAGTAATCAACTCCCTCCAAGCTGAATGGTGGGCACTCCTTCATGGCATACAATATGCCCACCGACTGGGACTAAAATCTCTATCTATATTTTTTTACTCATAAAGCTTAGTCAACAACTTTTACAAGAATGATGAAAATGACTGGTTTGTCCAACCTATAAAGGAACATGTTCTATGCCTGTTATCCTTTTTTGATATAATATGTGTAAACCATGTAAATATAGATATGAACATGGTTGCTCATGGACAGGCCTATAAGGCTTGTAAATATAATATAGTAGTATGTAATGAGAGCAACCCAAACTCCTCTTGTACTGATGATCCTTGATCAATGGTAGTTTTCTGACTTTTCTTTTGGCAATAAAAAGGGACCCTGTTCTCACCTCATATTCCTTGGAGTAAATAATTTCTGCTTCCCTTGGGAACCACCCCTTTGCTTAATAACAACATGTATCTATGCACTTTGACTAGAAAACCATTGAGGGATTTGTCTATAGAGGAGACAAAAGTAAGGATGAAGTTAATATTTCACTAAAGTATCATTAATAATTTAAGTATTAATTTTGCCCTCTATCTCTCTCTCTCTACATTTGATAAAAGTGCTTCTCTACCAAAAAAAGGAATAGAAATATATCTCTCCAAAATTTTAAGAGTAAATTACAGATGGACACCTTGTACTTTGGGTGTAGTGATACTTAAGGGACTAGACTTTCAAGGGTGACAATCAAGTATCATGAACTTTTGGAAATATATAATCAAAGTCCACCCATTAGCATTCTATCCCTTATATTGAGTTCCTCTATAATCATAATATGGACATTTTTATAATTTTATCCTCCACATCCATAGTTTAATGGAATTGGACTTAGGTTGTGTTTGGTTTGAACGAAAAGGTAGGGAAAGGAAAGGTAGGGATACAAACTTCATATAGGTTTCCCTACCTTCCCCTTCAAATCAAACATAGCCTGAATGTATTTTCTAGAAGTTAAGGCCATTTTTTGGTTCACTGCTCTGGGCCTCATTCTTTTAATTGTTGCTCACTTTGGGCAAGAATGAATAACATTAAAGTGTTTGGTTACAAAATTTTTGCCATGTGCCACATTCTTTTTAGAATGAAAAATCAGCCCACAACACAAAAATTGAGGTAGCTTGCAACATGAAAAATAATCATGCCCCATCTTGCTCATTTTCATTATTTGAGGAAACTCTGCCCGTAAAAATGCTACCATAGATGTTTATTAGCGGACTACCGTGGAAGTACTTTTACGAAAGCACTTTTACACACGGTTCTAAATATTGATACAAGCCTATTGGTCTGTATCGGTGCTTTTTTTTTATGTTTTAATTTTCTTTTCAAAATCGGTTCAGAGGAGTCGGTTTAAGTCCCGGCTACCCTCTGAACCATGGCCTGACTCGATACACCCCCTACGTATCGGCTGATACGTAATAGTATTTTGAACCTTGCTTTTATAAAAAGTACTTTTACGATAGCATTTTTGTAAAAGCACTTTTACGAAAGTACTTTTATAAAAGCGCTTTTACAAGAAAGCACTTTTACAAAATAACTTTTACAAAAGTACTTTTATGAAAACACTTTTATCAAAAGTATTTTTATGAAATCACAAAAGCACTTTTACAAATGTACTTTTACATAGGACACTTGTTAGTTTGAAAAGAATTCATTTTTAGGAAAAAATTGTTTGGTTCATAGCAATATTTTCTCATTATGTCTATTTTTACCCATTCTTGTCCATTTTAGAATTCCATTTCGGGTAAGAATGAGAATTGAACCAAACATAGCCTAAGTTACTAAAATGGCACATTTTGAAGTCACTAAAGTGAGACTACTTGAAATTACAAGGCAACCATATGCCCTTTGCCCTAAAAATAAATGATTTGATGAGCTAATTCAACAAATTTAGAAGAGTCCAAGGTCTCAATTGGCTAGTTGGTAAGGTCTCTTGTTGGTTGTAACAGATATTTGGATCAAGGTTCTAAATATTGATATAGGCCGGTACATCCTATTGACTGATACCGACGTGATGGCCTGTATCGGTGCTTTTTTTATGTTTTTTTTTTATTTTTTTTTCAAAAACTAGTTCGGAGGGGTCGATTTAAGTCTTGGCTACCCTCTGAACCATGGCCTGACCTAATACACCCCCTCCTGTAGGGGCGTATCAGGAAGGCCTCAATACGATACATATCGGCCCGTACGTAATGATATTTTGAACCTTGACTTGGACCGAATCTCGTAGGTGCTTTGGGTTGGGGGATGGGCTACCTAGAGGTGTAAAACAGGCTAGACGTGCTAGTTATAGTGATGGTGCAAAAAATGATTAAAATTTGAAATTATTGTAAATTTTGAGATTTTCAATTTTATTTATAGCTTGTAAGTTATTTGTAAGTTTTTTTCATTGCATCATAATCTTTTATTTTCAATTTTATTATATCATTTTTTAATTTCATTGTAATTTTTCCAATTTCATTTAACCATTTTATATTTTTATTGTAGGAATTAATTATTCATTATGGAATAAAACTTCAAGATGTTTTTTAATTGTTGTTGCAATCATCAAATTTTCCATTTTTTCCTTTAAATTTTGATTATTTTTTTGAATTTTTTATTTTTTGTTGTGAAAAAAAAAACAATCCAAGGCCCGTGGGCTATAGGCCCTGACTCGTGATGGGCCCCACCCCAACCTGCACGTGCCATACCGGCACGGTCTGCTACAGTAGCCTCGCCGGGCCGATGCGGCCCGTTACAGTGCAGACGGTACGAAAATGTACATTACACCACTAGGTAGGGCTACCCATAAAAAGAAAAAAAATCAAAATTAGAATTTAAACTTAGAATTAGAAGAGAGCAGAAGGGCCTCTGTCTCTCTAAGCAGTTTGCCCTCTTCTCTGTGTTATTTTTGTCCCACTATATAAGTCTTACGGTAAGAATGAGACTCTTTTCCCTCAATTTTTTTCTTTTCCACTTTTTTTTTTTTTTCTAGCTTCGGTTCTGAATTGTCAGCTTCGCGCTCTTGTTGTCTACAGGGTCTCAAAAACCCTAATTTCTCTTCGCACAGACCACAGTGCCCAAGCTCAGAAAGACACCAATGGAAGTTTCTCTAGGGCAAAAGCAGAAGCAACATGAGTTCGCGTTGGTTTCCATGTCTCAGCTCACCTCCTCCTCATCTTCTTCTCCTTGTTCGCCAGCAATCGCTCGTTTCGGCATCGATTCCGGAACTGCTCAGCTTCAGTTCCTCCACGAACCAGAATCTACCGAGGTTATCAACGTCGACATTGGTACCACCCAGGTTGGATTTTTACCTTTTTTTCCTTGTTGAATCTAGATTTAGATTACGTTAACACGGATTTCTTTAAATCTGTTATGTACCCGAAAATTTCATTTTTTTTTTCTTTTTTTCCCTCCCAGAAATCATTATGAATTGCTTTCGATCACAACGATAGTTTTTTCTTTTCAGCAATGACGTTAATGTATACATTACGACTTGGTCCGTTGTTTTTCAGCTTTTCAAGTTAGGCCCCGTCGAGTCAGTATGTATAACCGTAGATTCCGAAACCAGCAGTAAGAAGGAGGTAGGCCAAATACTTACAGTTAATCATTTATTCGTTTTGGTTGTACTGTACTCGTTTGGTGTAACATTCATTATGAAACGCGTGATATTCAAATTATTCTGTCTAAACTACTGCTTGTTTACATACTCTTTTATTGTTGTCAGTTTTGTGATTGGAATTTCAGTGAAGTGCTTTCTGACGTCTGTCTTACAACATCTTTCCTTTTGAGTCAGAAGTCTTACTCAAGGGGAATTACCATTCGATTTAGAACAGAAGATGAAAGCAAAGCTTTTCATTGTGCATTTGAGCAATGGAAGAATGAAGTTATTGGTGGAAGTGCTGGTATCACAGCTGCCCCTGTATTTTGTTAAATATAGTCTGAAACTGCTTGAAACTTTGCTTTGATGCTTTTTTTTCCTTTCCACCATTTGTTCCCTTTCCCTCCTTTGTCTATTTATATTCCATTAAGAACTAGGGAAAATTGTTACTGTTTTGACATTTCTTTTGGTTATCATTTGCTTCCTCTGGTTATCCACACCTTAGGAGGGTTAAACTGGATGCGGGCCTAAAATTTGACATTTCTTTTGGTCCCAAGGTGGCTATTCTTGGACTCAAACCTATGTTCTCATGCTTGTCATCCCAGGATTTTACCTAGGGTCCCAAGCAATGACGGACTCCTCCTTCATGTATTTAATGATGGAAATTTGAATATTCAGTCTACTTTTGGAAACAACTTTAAATTCTTGGTTAACCTGCATCTCTTTAAATGGGTGAAGTGCAATTTCTAGATAAAGTAAATGGTCATTTGCAGGCCTATCTTTGTATGCTAATACATACTAACTAATGGGTCCAAGTGTTTTTATATCCGGGGTGGTATGAACTGATTAGAAGCATATAACATTTAACTTTTCCTATTCATGAGAAGAGTATATGGTAACTGGCATAAACCCTGTTAAATTCATGTGTTAGAAGCAAATAGAGAGAACCAGGTAATTAATTTAAATTATTATTAGGAGATAAGGACAAAAGATCCGTTGACAACAGCAGTAATAAGAAGTAACCTGTTGCAAGTTGAAGAGCCAAGAAAATCTGGGGTGGAGGCAAGCAAAAAGAACATAGGTTAAATCAGTGATAACTGATTTTTTTTATCATTGCTTTTAGTGTATCATCCTTTACAAAGACGTATTTACAATAAACAGACAGATAATTTTGTAGTAGGTTACATTGATTTGAAGAACTCATAACACACTTTAAGTATTGCTAGTATTGTTACCGAAAATCAATACTTCAGAATTCATTTGGCTTGTATGGCAAAAATATTAGTTTTCTGCATTTTCAAATCGAATTTGGTTTTGTCTGTTCAACTTTCCATTGTTAATGAGATAATGTGTTGGTTGAGTGCATTTCTTATTATGGAATTGCTATTGAATCTAGCTCATTTTGACTATTTATTGTTTACTTCCCCCCTTTCAGGAGAATGCTTAGAAAATGGAAGTCTCTTAACTTCTAGAAGCAAGTTTGATAATAAAATAGAGGCAGCTTCTGCTAAAATGTACTTCCATTACTATGGACAACTTCTGCATCAGCAAAATATGTTACAGGATTATGTGAGGACAGGTTATACTATGAGACTGTAATTTGTTGTTCCCTTCAAGATTTATGTTGTATAATCAGCCCTTGACTTGGCTGTTGGAATTCCTATTTTGATCATCAAACTCCCTTCTTGTTTGGTTTCTCAGAGATATTCTATCTCAATGAAACCACATTGATCCTTATTGTGCTCCAACTTTGAAGCACAGGTGTCGTTAGGTTTTTAGTTACCATTTGTTAACAATATGGAAAAACCTTTCATTGATGTAAGGAATGTTGCTATGGCTTCAGGAACATATTGTGCTGCAGTCATTGAGAACCGTGCAGACTTTATTGGTCGGGTTGTAGTTGATGTAGGTGCTGGTAGTGGTATTCTGTCACTATTTGCTGCTCAGGTAAAGTGCATGACCCTGTGTAACAGTGCATTCCTTTTCTCTTTTCTTTTTATTTTCCTCTGTTTGTGCATCTATATGTTTTCTGCTGAAACGATTAAATTTATCTTCAGTTATATTTTTTGTATTAGGCTGGCGCAAAACATGTTTATGCTGTGGAAGCATCTGAAATGGCAGAGTATGCACGCAGACTTATTGCAGGGAATCCATCTCTGGCTCAGCGAATTACGGTGAGATTTAATTTGCCATTTGGCATCAAAATCAAAATTCAAGCTTTGAGGTAATTAGACCTATTCATGGGCCGGGTGGCCCGACGGGCCGGCCCAGCCCGGCCCCCGGACAGGCTTGAACATGCTTATAGGCCCGCGGGCTTAAATTCGGGCCAAAAAGCCCGGCCTGCAATAAATTCGAGCCGGGTTCGGGTTTTGTCAAAATAGCCCGGCTCGAGCCCGGCCCGGCCTGGCCCGACCTAATATTAAACTTAAAATGAGTTATGTGATTATGTCCATTTGAATATTTTTTTGATTTAATAATGTAAAATTGTGTTTTAAAATATAAAACAAAGGGAAAAAATACCATCTTGTAGGCCCATTGTTCATTTAAATAGAAAAAAAAATACTATCTGAATTTTTAATTCTAATTTGAATAGGAAAAATTGTTTTTTTTTTTCAATTAGGTCGGGCTTCGGGCTTTTTATCAGGGCCGGGCTCAGGCCCAAGTTATAGGCCCGTTGGTCGGGCCGAGCTCGGGCTCGGGCTCGGGCTCGGGCCTAGTATATTTTCATTAGTAACAAGTGAAAGCCCAGCCCGAGCCCGCCCTGACCCGGCCCATGAACAGGTCTAGAGGTAATGCCTTCTTTGGGCTATTCTTTTATTTCTTGGGGGCATTTTGTTATCTATTGCAGGTGGTCAAAGGTAAAGTTGAAGAAGTTGAGTTGCCTGAGAAAGCAGACATTTTGATCTCTGAGCCAATGGGTAAGCATACTGCCTTGTGATTTGCTTGTCACTGACATGGAGAAGATGGTATTCTATCTGGAAAAAATGCCTTATAATAGCCTGCAAAAATGTTGGTAAATTTTCTTTAGTCTTAATTGATTGAACCAACTGCTAGGTTGTGGAATAATAAAGCTGGCGTTTATGGATATTATGAGCAATCTGCAGTGCTATTACATGACATCATACTATCTTATATGCATAAGATTTAAGTGAAAAAAAAGATACTCTTCTCCCTTTGGGTTTTCTGGAGTAACTGAAACACTTTCATGAGTACTATTTCATCTTACATTCACAAGAAGAATACTTGGATTCATGTGAGGAAAAAAGATTAATGATCTACCTTTGTCTTTCTAATAAAAAATAAGTTATAAGATATGAAAAATGATAAGAAAATGGATGTCATAAGCCCCACTATTTGTGGAATGAACTTGACTTGTAGGATCCAATTTGTTTTGCCAACCAGAATCAGAAATGGAATACTCATTTTTCCCCACCAGTAATATTGGAAATAGTCATAAATTTCTGTGCAAATGAAGAGTAAAACAATGAGACTTTCTTGTGTTCCTTGCTTAATATATTACGAATTGCAATGTTATATTTTGATTGATTATGATCAGAGAAATGCTATTATTATTATTATTGGTAACAAGGAAATTTTATGATGCAAGGGGGAAAAGAGATAAAAAACTAAAATCTGGAAAAAAACCCAAAACGGACCAAAAAAGAGAGGAGACTACAATGTACTTCTGCATAAATTGTTAACCTCTTGACTCAGGTGCAGGTCGAGCCAGAGCTTCTCTCTTCTTATTCTTCCTGAGGTAGATCCAAGTGATGGGTGGTCAGTGGCCTAGATCCATGGGCCTGAGTTGGGCCAGTGTTCCCATCAGGTGCCAAGTTGAACAATCTTCTTCCCTGTCCTCCCAGAGAAAGTAGGCGGCCCCCAAGAGCTAAGCTACTTTGTATCGGGCGATATGATATGCTCTGCACTCCTGCAATTGAGACCAAGGATGAAAATTTGTATCGTATTGTATCTTTTGGGTTCCGAAATACATGTTTACAGGTGTTTCGGGAACCCTCTTTTTTTAATGAAAAATATATGTAACATACTACCCAAAAACCAATTTTTGAAAACAAACTAAAAAATATACAAGTGCAAGGTTTTTAGTACCGGTATGCCTCTACCGATACACAGGGGCGTATCGATACTTTGAACCTTGGTTGAGACAGTTAGTGATAAGTTAGGATTTGATGCATGTAATCAGCCCATCTATATATGAGTCTGCTGGCTAAGGAAATCATTAATGAAAAATCTTTACCGAGCTTCTCCCCTCCTCCTCTCTCTCTCCCCATCTCCTGTTACCCCTTTCTTCCATTTCAGGAGGTAGAGTCTCCCTCTGAGAGACTCCAGATGTAAGCTGAACTTACCAGCATCTCATGGAATAAGGTGTTTAATTTAGAATCTAGAATACAATTTTCTTTGGAAAAATGTTATATCTGCATAGGAAGAAAAAAAGAGGAAAAAAAGAAAAGAAATGTTGACATCTGTAGGGGCCACCTTTTGGTCATATGAGTTAGCTTGTATACTCAGTCTCTCAGAGCCAAGAGGTTCTGAATAAACCTAGTTCCTGATGGAAGGCAAGTAAGCTCTTGGAAGTTTACTGTCACCAGGTAGCTTTGGAAAACACCAAAGCAATCTATTCATGCCCCTCCAATACCAGACAGACAACCTGGGTTCCTGGAGGAGCCCCTATTAGAGCTTTATCATGCCCAGCTCATGAGGGGTCCAATGTTCAATAGTTGTCTTAGCCTAAGTTGTTGGCCCCTGAACTGACTGTTGAGACTATATTATCAATTGGTGATGCCCCTTTAAATATCTAACAGATAGTCTAGCTAGTGTAATAGTACAAAGCAAGACTTTGTATTGGGGATTTAATGTAGGATGGATAGGTCTTATGGGAGATATGTGGGCTTAGGACCTAGGGGAATGACTTAACTTATAAATTAGAGACATAGGGAGGTTTAGGAGAGTTGTCTGTGATGTGCTACTTGAAATATAAGCAATTTGCCAAATTCTCGTGAGGCTAAAGTTTGTGAAATTTAACCAAGTCTAGGGACATAAACTTTCTATCACATTGTGTACAGGTTTAAGATGGAAGATTGTAACTGTTGGTCGTATTTTGGGGTTTTGGGCAGCTTTTGCACAAAAAGAGAAAGTGACTTTGATGAAGAAAGCCTGAAAATGATGCAATATAGGTAAGAATTTTTGGGTTTAAACTTGATAGCATTAATTTTGATGGAGAATGATGGTGGATAGATGACTCATAAAAAATGGTGGTGGATAGATGAATTTGACGAGATTTTGAGAAATTTAGGCACAGAAGGACAAAATTTCAAGACGTTAGGCAGTTTTGAAAAGCAGGATTGTAATTTGAGGGAGCTGTATGAAAGGGAAGCTTACGAGGGAAAATCAAAGAGGACAGCTGAAACGAATTTGAATTTTACACATCTAGGTAGGGATGGACAATTTAGAGAGAGAAAATAATAAAATATCAATGAGGCAACAAGAAAGCTGAACAGGCTAAGAAATTTGAAACTCAATTTATAACTAAACCTTAAGTAGACTAACAAGATAAGGGGCCTGATCCAATAGTAGACAAAATTACCTAACTAATCCTGCAGAATAGATGTGATATCATTCAGAATGTCCATGAGTCCAGTGTGCAACTAGAGTAATGATCATATTTGTGATGATTGGGTAGAGTTGAAATAATTATGGCAAACCTTTGAATTTCCTTTCTCCTGTATATGAGACGGATCAAAATGGACATGGGGTTGAAGTAGTAAGAAATGATTTATGGGCTCAAAATTTTATGATGGATATGACACTGAATATAGTGGAATGGAGAAACAAGATTCATGTAGTCAACCCCATATAGTTGGGACAAGGCTTAGATGAAATCAATGTTATCTTCCTTGACCATTCAATGCATCCCAAATCACTCCACAAATTTGTATCAAATTCTTAGTAGCTACAAGACAATCAATGGACATGTAATTTGGTACCAGTTCGTTTTGCTTGTTTGCATAATAGCAAAACATGTGAAGGTAGCTATTGATAAAAAAAAAACATGTGAAGGTAGCCACCAAACTGCACTTCTCTGATTACTTTAATACATTTATATTTGTTCTTTATTTTTCATTATCTGATGATATTTTTCTGATTCTCTGTGTTGATGAACATGTCACTGCATAACTCTCAACCCCAGGTCTCTAGAGAAATGAAAAAAGAAATGCTAATCTTTATTTGTTCCTAAATGTTATTAGCAACCTTAAGCATAATTTCTTGTTTTGAAGCCTTAAAGGTTTTTATTGGAACATAGAACATTACAGTTCAGTTGAAAAGGTTAGTTCCAATAGCTAATGTTTGTTTCTTTTTGTTTTTCTTTCTTTGGTTTTTATAACCAGGTACCCTATTGGTTAATGAGAGAATGCTGGAATCCTATGTGATTGCAAGAGATAGATTCCTTGTCCCCAAGGGGAAAATGTTTCCAACAATGGGAAGGTATTTTTTGAGAAAAGATAACTACCTTTTGTAATTACCTTCTTATTTGCTTTTCCTTTCGTGGACAATAGGATTTTTTTTTTAATTTTTTTGAAAAAGGTAAAGTATGCTTGTATTAATATAAGGCCCTGTGTACAATGAGAATCTGTACAAAATGAAGGACCTCAAAAAAAGGCCATACTCAAAAAAGTATAATCAGATATGCTATCTCTAAAAACAGTATGTATAGACATCCAACTTCTCAAAATCTCTATTGCCAAGTTAATGACCTCGGCTTCAGTAGTAGATTTTTTCTCAAAAATCCTATTGTTCCTTTCTGACCACACAGCTCACAGCACTGCCGGAGGAATGGAAGTCCAGCATAACTTTCCTTTCTTCGACAGCCCCTGAATATGCCACTCCTCTAGCAGAGCTCTAACTGAGGCTGACATGCACCAGCTTAGATTCAGGGATTTGAAGAAGTGTGGCCAAACTGCAGAACTAAACTTGCAATGAATGAAGAGATGCCCTGAAGGTTCTACTTGTATATTGCAAAAACAGCACCTCCAGTCTGGCAGATTAAGACCTTTTTTCAGCAGCATTTCTTTGGACAAACACCTCTCCAGAGCTGCCACCCATGCAAAAAAATTGATTTTTGGAGAAGTCAAATTCCCCCAAATGGCCTGACTGGGAAAAGGGGCTTCAGACCTTCCCACAAGAAAATTATAGAAGGATTTAACTGTGAACTCTCCAGATTTTGACCATGTCCAAACTGTTGAGTCTTGCTTCTGAAAATTTATCTGTTGGTCTTGTAACAGATTAAGAAAATCTGCCATCTGCTGAATTTCCTAGTCATTGAAGCTTCTCCTAAAGGGAGGAACCCAGCAAAGACTGCCTTCCTGGTGACACATAGAATCAGCCACTAAGGCTTCCTTATCTACAGCCACATTGTATAAGGCATCAAGGCTGGGAACAGCTCGTTTAGAGTGTTGTCACCTACCCACTGATCTAACCAGAACCTGGTTTTTCTTCCATTTCCCTCTTTAAATTTAATACCACTGCTGAACTGCCTGTAAGCCTTACAAATTCCTTTCCACACCCCACAACCATAAGTACCAGAGGGAATAACACCATCCCATCCAGTGTTCCTTAAGCCATATTTCTCCTCAATCACCTTCCTCCAGGGTTTGTTTGGTTCAGATCTAAACCTCCACAGCCAGCTTCCCAATAGGGCAAGGTTGAAAAGCTTAAGGTTTCTTATTCCTAGCCCACCCTGTGACTGGGGTTTACAAATTTGCTCCCAGCTCACTAAATGGTACTTAAGTTAATTGCAACCATTGGAGTTTCTCTCCTCTCTCTCCCTATCATGTGTGTATTCTGTAGCCAATCTGAACTGTTCATCAGGTTGTGGACCCTTTGAATTAGCCATGTGTTCACTCATTTTTTTTTGAAATTATTATGGCCATCTAAGCTTGAACCATTGGAATTTCTTCTTCTTCTTCTTCTTCTTCTTCTTCTTCTTCTTCTTCTTCTTCCTCTCTCTCTCTCTCTTGTGTTTGTGTGTGTGTGTGTGTGTGTGTGTGTTTATCTTGTAGCCAATCTGAACTGTTCATCAGTTAGTGGACCCTTTGAATTAAGCATGTGTTCACTCTTTTTTTTTTTTGAAATTATTATGGCTATCTAAACTTGAATGTTTTTGTTTAATATTTTATTCCATTAAATCAAATCTGAAATTTCTACTACATAGACTCTCTTTATATAATAAGCATAAGGGATGAGATCTCTGTTTACAGACTCTATTTATATAATATGCATATGGGCTTGGTTAACATATATTCTAACTACTTTGGAACCAAGGCCATAAGGGAAATCAAATAAGGACTCTAACTCCTACTATCACTCATACCACTTACTAGATACTAACCCTACTAGCTACTACAATTAAACAAACCAAAAACAATACCAAGAGTGATGCAGAGAAATAGATAGATCCATTTCCCCATTGCAGATACCCCATTGAAGCCTTTGTCCCAAATATATGGGGCTGGCTACATGAATCCTGCTTTGGCATTCTATCCTGTTCAGTATTATCTCAATTGTCAAGTTGCGGGACTTGAATCATTTCTGATCCTAGCATTTCTAGCTCCTTCAACTTGTAATAAATCACTTCTTTTTACTGGTTGTGTAGATGGTCTTCTCTGCMCATGTCCAAACTTTCGTAATCTACTTTTCATCATTTTGTCACCTATTGGAGCTATTCTCAGGTTAAATTCATTGTATACTATTTTATAGTTTTCCCATTCAACCCAATCATCTATCTAATCACTCAAAATTCATGCTAAATGGCCAAGGTTTGACCTCAGAAAAATAGGATTTGAGAACAATGATGTGATTGCGTAACTTTTCAAAATTTAAAGAATTCTATAATAAAAACGGACCATATTCCCATGACACTAACAAGCTAAAAAATAATTTAAAAGAACTAAAATAATATGCAAATCCAAAACATCCATATATTACAAATTTGCCATTGAATGAGGAACTGGGAGAAAACTGATGTCCTTCTCCATGCATTATTTGCTTGCTTTGATGCCTTTATCACTGTATTGCAAAGATAGAAACCATCATAGTTTATGTTTTATTTTCTCTTTCAAGTGCTATCTGTGTTGCATCCGTCCAGAGTCTTATTGGAGTATTTTGATGATTTTGGGATAGGTTGTCAGAGTTTTGGTAAGGTAAGGATGTGTGGTAAAAAAAGAAAAGGAAATTTTTGAGGGCTTGATATTGTTGAAAGCATTTAGAAGGCAGGGTATTTTGATATTTTGATTGCGGGATAGGCTGTAGGAGGTTTTGAATTGACCGTGTAATTCTTTGTGGCCAGATATCTTGGTGACTGTCTTTAGAGTGCTTGGGCTGCAAAACTCCTGCTCTCCTTGTATACTTTTCCTTTTCTTCTTTTTAATGATTTTTTATTATTTCATCATCATTATCTAAGCCTTGCCCCAACTATATGGGGTCAGCTACATTAGTCCTTGTTTGTAATTCCATTCTGTTGAGTTCTATATCCATCATTAAACTATGGGCGCTTAAATAATTTCTTATTTACTTTAATCAAGTCCTTTTTGGCTTGCCCCTAGCTCTTCTAGCCCTTTGAACTTGTTGCAGATCACTTTTTCTGAAAGGTGCTGTAGATAGTCTTCTGACCAAACCATCACAATCTACTTTCTCTCATTTTATCACCTATTGGAGCTACTTGTAGTTCCTTCATATGACTTCATTTCTAATCCTGCCCTTTCTAGTTTTACTACTCAGCCATCTAAGCATTTGCGTTTCTGCCACACTCATTTTTTGGACATATTTCTTAACTGCCCAACACTTTGCTCCATACAACATAGTTGGCCTTACAACTGTTTTATAGAAATTCTCTTTTAGCCAAAGTGGTATAATAATCTTTTATTACCTGCTATCAAAAAGGAAAAAAGGAGTTAAAGTAGTCCCAATAATCATCAGAGTAATTTAGAGAGTAGTTTTAACTTTTAACTGTTCATCATTGTAATGAACTTCTTAAATTAGCTGATGCTATGGTTACTGTAGGCTTGTGAGTTGTGACTTGTTTTGCAGCTTTCTAAAACTCATACAAATGCATTTGATTAATATAATGTATATTACGAAAGAGAACTCTCTTTTACATTTTTTATAGCCTTTCTGGTATACAATGTCAGACTTGTGATATTCATTGCTTTATGGTTCTGATTTGTTAAGTTGTTTACTACTGTAGGATACACATGGCACCATTCAGTGATGAATACTTGTATGTTGAAGTTGCAAACAAGGTATTTGTAAGAAACATAATACTCTATTTTGTAGTAGATTGGTTTGATGGCTTGCACAGATTTGTGCTGTTCATAATGATCTAAGTGGCATATGTGTAATTTTTCAAGGCTTGGAATTAACCTTTCTAGAGATGTGAGCCATCTTTGGATACTTTCCTCCATTTTTCATGTTTGAGTAATAGCAAAAGATTCCACCTGGCTCAAATGGTAAAGTCAGTGGATGTAGTTTCCAGTGACATGGTTTCTCAGGCCATCATCACCTTTCTGACCCCCTCCCCCCCCACAAGTTTGTAGATCAAGGAACATCATCTACAAAAAGATGCCCTCTAATCATTTAAGGTTAGGTTTTACTTCTTGTTCCACACAGTGAAAATGTGATGAAATGATTAGTTGGTGTGGTGGTGACATTTTGGATTCCCTAGTTGATGAATTGGTGAAATACTAGTTGGTGTGGTGGTGACATTTTGGATTCCCTAGTTGATGAATTGATGAAATACTAGTTGGTGTGGTGGTGACTTGGAGCTGACTTCGATCACATAAAGGTTATGTTCTAAATATAAGATATAGAACATTTAGTTTGCAATCTTTTTCTAGAACATATAGAGAAGGATGACCAGGTAGGCTTAGATAGGGAAGGGAGTCATGGTATTTGATTTTCAGAGAAATGAATGCTGATAAAAAAAATCAAAGAAATGAATGCAATATTGACTATTTGATTGCCTCTTTCTCTATGGCAACTCCATACCAGCATACCACTGATTGGATGGAAACTTAAAAGAACCCTTCCATTATTATTGTTTTTTTCATTATTTGTTGTCAACCAGTTGTATACAATCACAAATGCTTAAATCAACTAGCATGCCATGAATTTACCTAATAAAAGCATATAAACAAGACCGTTTCCCAAATAAAAGAATATGCTATACTGTTTTGAATAATTGCATGCATAAACAAGTAATGCTTTAAAATAACTTTATGTTTGATTAGTTGTCCCAAACAACTGCATCATGGGTATTGCCTAACTAGTTGGAGGGTGTGGTAGATAGCATAAAAATTATGCTAACTTTATGGGTAAAGACCTTGAATTGCATTCAAACTTTTTCTATCACTGACATCTTAAGAGCTTGGACTGAAGTAGTTCATCTTCAAGAAGTTTAGATAGAGTGAGTGGAAATGTGGAATGAGGCAACAAGGTTAAGCTGAACTTTGATGGGAATTCCATTGGAAATCTGGGAATGGCAAGAATAGGTGGGGTAATAAGAAATTCTAAGTGAAGGATTCTGGCATTATTTTCAGGACCGATTGGTTTGAGGAACACAGTAAAGGCTGAATTGATGTCTCTTTTGCAAGGCCTCGGATTAGCCAAACAACTGGGCTACAGGTTAATTGAGACTGAGGGGGATTTAAAAGTAATCATTTGATGGGCAAACACCAGCAGACATATCCCTTGGATTTTGAGACATGTGATGAGGGAAGTGGCTGGGATTGTAAAAGACATAGGGGCTGAGTTTAAGTGGGTCAGAAGGAGTGCGAATGGGTTTGCTGACTATCTGGCTAAATAGGGTGTAACAAGACAATAGTCGTTTTGGGCTGGTTTGTAACAAGACAATAGTTATTTTTCTGATTCTTATTTCCTTTCTTTTCTTCTTATTCATATGTTTATTTTCTATAATATGAACATTATACTTATTTGATGAAGAAAGATTAATGATAATTATTAGTGAAAGATGATTTCTGGTTGCAGTGAAACCCAAGGAATTACCCTAGGATTTAGGGATTTTATTTAAAAAGACCTGTTGCCTAGGTGACCCCTAGGCAGGTGTTTAGGCACCCAGGAGACAAGGCACCACCCTGTCTATTAGCCTTGCCTTGGTGCCATGAAAACAATATTTCTTTCCGTACCCCATCCTATTTTTTATGCCTTGGATGAATTGTGCTCCACCTTTGCTTGTTTGCTCATTGCCAAATTCCCCCACTTACCCAACAACATATCCTATACCTTGCAGATCTGGATTACCTTTCAGAACACTTCCTCTGATGGTGGCTTAAGATTTAGGATGTATCCCTGGGTTTGTCAACTTGGTGGTGTTTGATGGTGAGGCACTACTCTGCATTTCCAAAGGTCTTGGCAAATTGGTTAGGTGGTATAGAAGCCTATAATAGACAGGGCTAATATAACTCTACCTCTAACTTGTAAGAGCCTAGAAAGGAGATTCTGAGAAGGGATGGTATCTGTATCATTTTTTTTATCAGAAAAGCTAACTTTCATTAGAGATAAATTAAACTGAAATACAGAAGTCAATCCTTACTAGAAAAGGTTGATCCAATAAGCATCAAACCTTACAGCACTGCCCAATAGTCCTTACAGTCCCTTGTTTTGCTAGGGCGTCAGCAAAACCATTTGCTGATCTCCTTACCCACTTGAAGCAAACACCCACCTCCGTTGTTATGCTAACAATTTCCCTTATCAGCTGTCTACATTGCCAAATTCCTAGCTGCCCTGATTGCATCCACCCAATTACCAACTTGGAGTCTCCCTCTATCTCAATCTRCTGTARCYCYAAYTGTTTGGCYAGTTTTACACCTTGATGTAGTGCCAAGATTTCCGCTCTTAAGGAATCTCCAACTCCTACTGGACTTAAATACAGAGCCATTATCTCTGAAAACACCTATACCAGATGGGCCCGGATTACCTATAGAGCTTCCATCAAAGTTCAGTTTCACCCTTTGTTGTGCTGGTGGCGACCAAACTTCCTGTATCATAGCTTTGGAAGTAGTAGTAGATGCCACAATACCCCAACTTCTATAAATGTCTTCAGCTGAGAAGTCCTTAAAAAGATCATAGGATTTCAACCAATGGATAATCTTAGTAGTTACTCCTTCCACAACCTCTTCCTTGGATCTACAACTACCTTTGAAGATCCTATTGTTTCTTTCCGCCCACACTGACCACAATACAAAAACTCTAATGGCTCTCCACATAATCCTTCCATGAACTGTTGGTTGCCTGCAAAAAGCTGGATCAAAGAGGTTCACCATGCTTGAGGAGGGAGTCCAACTGCAGCCAAAGAGAGAAGAGAACCAAGACCAAATAAAGAACACAAAGGGACATGAGATTAGTAAATGTGAAATTGTCTCACCAGAACCCAAACAGAGACAACAAACATGGGGGGAGAGGCACATATTTGGCCTCTTTTTCTGTAACAAATCCAAAGTGTTGATTTTTTGGAGTGCCACTTCCTAGCAAAAGGCCTGAATTTTTGGGGGTATAGGGCTACCCCACACCTCCTTTGAAGGAAAGTTCCCTACAAGGTTAGAGGTCTGAAGCAAAATGTTATAGAAAGAAGAGCAATTGAAAAAACCAAAAGGGGAAGGTTTCGAAATTCTGTTATCTCTACAAGATTGATCAAGAAAGACTTCCCCTAACTAAGTGATCGAATCATCAACCATCCCCATTTCAAAATCCTTTAGACCTCTTCTCAAGCCCAAATCCTAGGAGTTATCAACAAACACTGAAGATATCACTTTTCTTTTGTTATCAAACAAGGAGTAAATAGAAGGAAATCTATCTCTAAGGGAGTTTTCACCAACCCAAACATCTTCCCAAAACAAGACTTTATTTCTAGCGCAGACATCATATTTGAAATAAGGGAGCATAAGAGGCAAAATAGCTTGAATAGCTTTCCAAGGAGAACACTTAGAAGCCTCAAGGTCGAGTCCTGCATCCCAGTTGTTATCTGCCAATCCATGAATACTAACAATTACTCTAGACCAAAGTCTGTCCTGTTCCATCGGTAGTCTCCAGATCCATTTCCCTAGTAGAGCTGTGTTTCTTAATCTCATATTTCTTAACCCAAGGCCTCCATCATCCCTACTCCTAGAAACCACCTCCCACTTCACTAAGTGAACCTTCATAGTATCCCCTAGTTCCCATAAGAAATCCCTTGTTATCTTCTCTAACTGGTTAGCTACTTTCATTGGTACTCTAAAGGTAGACAGGAAATAAACTGGCAGGTTGGTCAAGGTTGACTTGATTAAGGTTATCGTACCCCCTAAAGAGATGTAATTCATCTTCCAATTTGCTAACCTCTTGGAGAATCTTTCAATCACAGGGTACCAAAAACTCTCAACCATCGGGTTCCCTCCTAGTGGTAGCCCCAGATATTGTAAAGGCTAGCCCCCCACTTCACACCCCAAAATCCTAGCTAGGGAATCCACCTCCTCTCCCCCTAAATTGAGCCCTACCACACAACTTTTCCCCAGTTCACTTTAAGATTGGACTTCCTTTTAAATTGAAGCACTAGACTCTTTATGTTCCGTAATTCCCCTTCCTCCCCGCCACAAAACAAGATGATGTCATCCGCAAATTGTAAGTGTGTGACCACCACCTCCTCCCTACCAATCCTCCAGCCTCTTATCAAATTGTTAGCATCAGCCCTCGAAATCATGGCACTCAAAACATCAACTACTAGGGTAAAGAGGAATGGGGACAACAGATCTCCTTGCCTAATACCCCTCTTTGTAGGAAAGAAACCACTAGCTACACCATTCACTAGTATTGAGAAATGACATGAGGAAATGCATCCCTTTACCCATTTGCACCATCTCTCCCCAAACCTTCTCCGCTTGAGAACCTCTAGTAAAAAATCCCAGTCCACCATGTCATATGCCTTTTCAAGATTCAATTTGGAAGCCAACCCCTTTTCCTTTCTCCTCTTCACCTCAACACATTCATTGGCAATAAGTAATTGATCTACAATTTGTCTTCCTTCTACAAAGGCCCATTGATACAGTGAGATTAGAGATGGGAGGATCTTTTTTAATCTTAGCGCTAGGACCTTAGAGATGATCTTATACATGCTTCCCACTAGGCTTATATGTTTGAAATCCTTTGGTTGGAGAGTGTCCTTCTTCTTAGGAACCAAGGCAATAAAAGTTGCATTTGCTCCTGAGTTGAATTTGCCTCTCATAGAACTCTTCAAAAACCTCCAACAAATCCTCTCTAATTATCTCCCAACAATCTTGATAGAAGGCCATCGAAAAACCATCAGGCCCAGGCGCTTTAGAGATCCATGGAGAAGATTGCATTTCTCACATCTTGGGCCTCAAATCTTTTTTTCCAAAGATTCCAATAAGACACTATCTTCCACCCTCCACTCCAAGTCCTCTAAGCTCTCACTAGGTCTCCCGGGGTTGTCATACACTAATTTGAAGTGATTAACCAAAGCTTGAGCTATATCCTCCAACTTATCTCCTCATTCCTAAGAAGATCTTCCTGTTCCTGTTTCAAATTCCATCTTTCCACCCAACTCTCTTCCCCCAATTTTCTTTCAGCTTCTAGTCCATCTAACTCCTGCACTCTCTGATTGATTTCCACTTTCCTTTGCTCTATTCTACCAAAACCTCTTTGTTCCAAATCTTGAGTCTAGCTTTCAAGAGTTGTAGTTTCTTTTAAAACCTATACCCCTTCCATCGGAATTCCGTTTGGTCCACTTCCCACCATTCTTTTACCTTAGCTAGAAACTCTAGATGAAGTAACCACATGTTTTCAAACCTAAAAGGGCATGGGCCTCCATCCACTCTTTCTTGAGACAACCTGATTGGGCAATGATCTAAAATAGGTCTTGGCAATGCTGTGTAACACCTAAAATTCCCCATTCAACTTCCCAATCCACTGTAAAGAGGAACCTATCTAAATGACAACAGGTAGGGCTTTCTTGGAAGTTTGACCAGGTAAAATTTGCTTGCTGAAGAGGGAGGTCCCACAATTCAAAATTCTCCGCAAAGATTAAAATTCCTCATGGTAGATGTAATCCTATGATTGGGGTTATTGGACTCGTTCAAGAATCTTATTACGTTGAAATCCCCACTCAAACACCAAGGGCCATCCCACAAATCCCTAACGGCTGCTAGTTCTTCCCAGAAACCTTCTTTTTCCCTGTAAGAGGTGGGAAGCAACATTCTCCCAAACACCTCCAAACAAAGCTAAGGAAGCAACATTCTCCCAAACACTTCCTATGCATACTTATTCACCCTAATCCCATTACAATACCGTCAAAAACTAACAAAACCAACTATCCTGAAAGAAACACAACAAAACTGAAACCCAGAATTTGTAACAACCGCATGAGCACACAACACTAAGCCCGTGGATCAAAAGCAAACAACAACAGATTCACAAGCCTCACCCTTTGATAGTCTAATTTTATTGCCACCAACTGTTATAACCATGCCTGAGAAAGTTTTGGTTTTAATGGTGTCTGAAAAAATAAATGGTTTACCAAACCCATCAAAAGACAAGTTTTTTTCTTGAAATATGAAAAAATGCCAATGGCAATTATATTTGCCTTGTTTTTTCCTGTTTATTTTATTGATTGTTTATGAATTGATGGTTCTTATTTGTAATTAACAACTTGTGGTGTGCTTTGGCATGTTTCTGATATTTGATTTATTCTGGTTGGAAATTGGTGATTATATGGTTCTGAAAAGCACTTTTTAGAGTGGAAAAAAATATAGAAAGGTTCTCTGGATCTAAAATTTAGAAAACAAAATTTCCCTTCTAATAATTGCAGTAAACCCGACTGTGATGAGAAACTAGGAGATTTCTGTTTGCAATGACTTTATAGGTTTTAATCACTTTTAATTATCTCCATGGCTATGTGCATTAGCAGACCTAATGTAGAATGATAAGGAAGCTCTTCATGGGCGTGAGTTTCCTATGGGAGCTCCTTTCTTTGCAGCTATTTGTTTAGTTCCATGAGTCTATGAATGCGTTCATTTATTTGAAATTTTCTTGTTCCTGTATGCAGTACTGTCGGTTTTGTTCTATTTGTGCCGCTATTTCTTGCTCTAATTCTTGATACTCTCTCCCTCTTCTTTTTTCATTTGGTGGTGGTGGGGGGGGTTGATATTGTTGTTTGTGTAGGCTCTCTTTTGGCAGCAACATAATTACTATGGTGTTGACCTCACTCCCTTATATGGACCTGCATTTCAGGGTTATTTCTCTCAGGTATATGACTATCCCAGTATAGTGAGGAAACTAAAAGTTTAGGCCTTTTTTTTGTGCTTTTGCTCCATAATAACTAGGCTCCATGGAAGACTTCTGTTATTATAATTCTATGGATCTGCATTTCGGGAATATTTGAGAAACCTTCCCTATTCATTGGTATAGATGTTTAACTTACAAAATTTCCCCCAACATTTGAGCCCTATTAACCCCTTGCCTGGCCATTGCACTGGCCACTGAATTTGCTGATCCTTAAGCCCATGAATAGCTAACTATTGGTTACCTTTCCAGCATAGTTTTCAAGGTGCCAAGGCGAGGCTAGGTGACAGGGGGGCGCCTTGTCGCCTAGGCAATGGATTTTTTTAAGTGAAAAATACATATCCTAAGTAGTTCCCTAGGTTCCATAACCATCGTTCCTTAATAACTATCCATAATTTTCATAAGAAAATTATAAACTTCATGTTTATGTCTAGAAAATCAACATATTTATGAGAAGAAAAATAAGAAAGAAAAGAAAATTCTATAAATACGGGGACTGAACCCTATTTTTGTTATAGGAAAAGAAGAAAAGAAGAAGAAGAAGAAGAAGAGGAAGAAGAAGAAGTGGAGGAAGAAATGTGTTGATTAGACAAAACTTTAAGTTTTTCCCTTACTTATTGGTTCAAATTCTGAAGTCTTTGAGGGTTCAATACAGCAGTTAGCAATGTTTATGTTGATTAAACCCTAACAAATAAGAAAATAATAAAAGGAAATTAGTTTATAAACACAAAAAATGAATATTTTTGTTTAATAATGTCTATTTTATAATTATAATCTCAAAAATATAACAATATAAAAGTATTTTATAAGACAATATACAAAAATGCTAGGCGATTGGGTGAGGCGAGCCTCCAAGGGCGCCTTGACAACTATGCTTTCCAGCATCTTATCTCTCATAGCATGTCTATGATGCCATGGGCCTTTAGTGTAGAAGAAAAACAACCTTTTGAAAAGAAGGGACTGTTTAAAAAGTTGCAGAAAATAAAAAAAAAAGTAGCAGAAATCAGGTTTCAAGAAGAGAAGAGGAAGAAGAAGGTGGCGGCAACTAGGGTTTAAAGAGAGATTTTCGAACATAATCTCCTGTTACACCCCTAATTCCATTTCATTAAGTTAAACTTTAGTAATTTACAGAGAGGCCCTTGGTTGGGCAGAAAATTAAAAAACATAACATAAGAAAGAATAAGAGCCCAAATTAAGGCCCTTTACAACAAAGAACATAAAAGATAAAAAAGATAATTAACCTATGGGCCATTCGGCCCATCTTCTCTACACTCCCCCTCAAGTTGAGCATAGATGTCAATCATGCCAAGCTTGCCAGTATCATGCTGCAGTTTAGCCTTGGGAATGCCCTTGGTGAGGAAATCAACTAATTGTTCTTTAGAAGTGATGAAAGGTAGACACACTTCTCCAGAAGCCACTCTTTCTCGAATGAAGTGTTGGTTCTGTCATGTTGCACTGGATTGTAAGCAATGTTGATAGTAGCCTGATTATCAAAGTATAACATCAATGGCTTATCATGCTCAATACCTAGTTCCTCCATCAAAGATCTAAGCCACAGTAGTTCAGAAACTCCATGAGCCATGGCTCTGTATTCGGCTTCGACTGAAGATTGGGCAACAAATTATTGTTTCTTGCTTCTCCAAGAGACAATATTACCTGCCACCAAGCTACAGTATCCAGAGGTGGATTTTCTGTCATCAATATTTCCGACCCAATCAGCATTTGTGTAGGTTTCAAGTTTCATATGACCATGCTTAGCAAATAGAATTCCCTTTCCAGGGGAACCCTTCAAATAACACAGAATCTACTCTGTTGTTGCCATGTGAGTGTCCTTGGGAGCATGCATGAACTGACTAATGCAACTGACAACATATGCAATGTTTGGTCGAGTCATGCATAGACAGAGAAGTTTTCCAAGTAGCCTCTAGAATACTCCCTTATCTTTCAACAATATTCCATCTGAAGCAGAGAGTTTATGACTCATATCAATAGGAGTAGCAACTGGTCTAGCACCCATCTTCCCTGTTTCAGAGAGCAAGTCAAGTACATAATTTCTCTGAGAGATAAGGATCCCATCTTTGGATCTAGCAACTTCTATGCCAAGAAAGTATCTCAATTCCCTCAGATTTTTGATCTCAAACTTTGTATGAAGGAAAGATTTGAGATCATTAATCCCTGATACATCATTACCATTCACAAGAATATCATCAACATACACAATCAGGTAAACTGGCAAGGATCTTTTCCTTTCCACAAAGAGGGTATGATCAGACTGAGCCTGTACATAGCCAAAGCTAACAAGGGCAGCCCTAAACTTTTCAAACCATGCCCTAGGGGACTGTTTAAGTTCATAAAGAGATTTCTTCAGCCTGCAGACCTTCCCTTTTATGTATGTTTCATTCATCCTTGGAGGAAGAGACATATAGACCTCCTCATGTAACTCTCCATTCAGAAATGCATTCTTTACATCCAGCTGATAAAGTGGCCAGTCTGAGTGTGTAGCTAGAGATAGCAGAACTATCACATAAGTCATCTTGGCAACAGGAGCAAAGGTCTCTAGATAATCAATCCCATATGTCTGTGTATAACCTTTTGCAACCAACTTAGCCTTGTACCTTTCAATGGTGCCATCAACATGATATTTGATGGTAAAAACCCACTTACAGCCTATTGGATCCTTCCTTTCAGGTAAATCAACCACTTTCTATGTGTCATTCTTGTGCAGGGCATCAATTTCTGTTCTCATAGCATCCCTCCATTCTGGAATAGTAAGAGCTTTTGGAACCCGGTTCTAGAAAGACTTGAGAAAAGGCTTGCCTCATGGAGGAAAAATTATCTTTCTCTAAGGGGGAGAATCACTTTAATTAGCTCTACCCTAGCTAACCTTCCTGTTTACTTTCTGTCGGTGTTTAAGATTCCCGCAAAGGTCTCAAGTATAGTGGGAAAGTTAATGAGGGATTTCTTGTGGGAACCAAGAGAGGAGAAGAAAGACCATAGGGTGAGTTGGGAGGTGGTAACTAGAAGCAAGCAGTTAGGAGGGCTTGGGATTGGGAATATCAGGAAAAGAAACATGGCATTGTTGGGGAAATGGTTATGGAGGTTTCCAATGGAAAGGGACAAACCTTGGACGAAGATTGTGGCTAGTATACATGGGTTGGAAGACAATGACTGGGATCCAGGAATCTTGGAAAGGACTACAACTGCTTCTCCTTTGAAAGTCATTCATGATTTGCTTCCGGTTTTCTCCCCTTGGATAAGGTATGATCTGAACTCTGGTAATCTCGCAAAATTCTGGGAGCAGCCTTGGGTTGGGGACTCATCTCTGATGGACCAATTTCCCTCCTTATATGCGTTGTCAGACTTGAAGAATGAACCCATTTCTTCTTTCTTAGTTCCTTCTAATTCTAATTCCGGTTTTGGATTGATTCTAGGGTTGAGGAGAACAATAAGGGATACGGATTTGGGTTGCCTGTCGTCTCCACTAATCACCCTTGAAAATGTTTTCTTGGACCCGAGTAAGGATGAGTCTAGAATTTGGACCCCATCCTCCAATGGCTCCTCCTGTGCGTCGTTTTTTGAGACCTTGGTCCATCCTTCTGCTCCCTCTGGCCTTTCCTTCCCTGTTAATGAGATTTGGAGTAAACCCATTCCTCCTCTTGTTGGTAGTTTTTGCTGGGAAACTTTCCTGGAAAGAATAAACACAACCGACTTGCTTCAAAGAAAGAGACCTAATTCTTGCTTACTTCCCAATAGGTGTGTTCTATGTAAACCTAATGGGGAAACGGCTTACCATCTTATGGTTACTTGTCCGGTTACTAAGACTATTTGGGAATGGGCTTCATCCTTGTTTGGATGCACTTGGAATCCCCTCGTGAGTTTGCAAAGCTTGTTCTCTCCCTTGTTCTCTAGATGGCCTAAGAAAAGAGGGAAGATCATGTGGAGAAGCATTAGAGCAGCTGTGTGCTGGTCCGTATGGAAAGAGATGAATTCTCGACTTTTTTCAAACAAGGAAAGATCTATGGAGAATTTAACTGAATTGATACACTTAAGGGTCAGTCATTGGCTGAAATCTTTGGAGCTTTTTTCAGAGTTCTCCATGGCTGATCTTTTGAGAAAATGGAAAGAAGTTGCTACCTCGGTTCAATGCAAAAGGACCTCTAGACCTTGGTCCGTTCCTCCTTCAGGATTCATGAAACTGAGTTTTGATGGTTGTAGTTTAAGGAATCTTGGGCCTTCTGGGATTGGGGGAGTTTTCAGAAATGAGGCTTGGATTATTTTTGCCATATTCTCTGGCCCTATTGGTGAGGGTGACTCTCTTAGGGCAGAGATTTTAGCAGCTTTGGAAGGAATCAAAAGAGCAAGAGAATTAAACATTCGGTGCTTGGTCATTGAAGAGGACTCGGAGGTGGTAATTAGGTGGTTGAAGGAAGACAACAATGGTTTGTGGAGCTATAGCAATGAAAAGAAAAAATTTAAATGGCTGAGTAGGGATATTGAGGTGAAGTACAGTTGGGTGAAGAGAAGTGCTAATTCCATGGCTGATGGGTTAGCCAAGCAAGTGGTGCTTAAGGATTCTTTGTTTTGGGCCACTTTTTAGCTTTCCTTCTTGTTCTCTGTTGTGGGGGAGTGAAGATGTTTTACCTCCCCTCTCTTGTACTCAAAGTTCGCAATTTTTATAATCTAATAAAACATTCTGTTATTGATAAAAAAAATAGTAAGAGCTTCTGACACAGACCTTGGAATTGGGTTAAAAGCAACAGAAGAAATGTGGCCAAAATATGGAGAGAGCAAACTATAAGAAAGGTGTTTGGAAATGCAATGTGCAGTACATTTCCTTTTTTCTTTCCTAATAGCAATAGGGATATCAAGCCCTAGAAAGGACGACTCTAAAGGGGCCGTATCAGTACCTGTTGTCTCTTCCGTGACTGGAAGTGCAGGAGGCTCATATGTTGTAGGGGAAACAATCTACTCACTTTTGGTTCTCTGCCGTTGGTACAACCTGGGATTAAAAAGAGGGTGAGGAGGTAAAGGAGGAGGGATAGGAACACTGAAATGAGAATGAAATGATTGATTCTCCCTTGACTCATTTGAAGGAGGAAGAGTCAACAAAAGACTCAACTGGGACAGGAAGGGGGAGAGCAAACAACTGTGACAAATTCTCCCCCTTTGGACAATGCCTCTCCTGAGAAGAATCATAAAAGGAAGAGAGCTCATCAAAGGTGATCCATTGAGACATACTGAGTTCCAGTCTTCAGATCAAAACAACAATAACCCTTTTGTGTGGGGGAATAACTAAGGAAGATACACTTGTGGGCTTTTGATTCAAATTTATGTCTCTGGACATTTGGAATATGTACATAACAAGTGCAGCCAAGGATTTGTAGGGACATGTGAAGCAAATAGGATACTTCTTGCAACTTCAACAATATGTCGATTTAACAGCTTCACCCCAAAAATTTGTAGGGGTGTAAAGCAAATAGGATACTTCTTGCAACTTCCAACAATATGTCGATTTTTTCTTTCAGCAACTCCATTCTGTTTTAGGTCCTAACACATGAGCTTTGGTGAATAACCCCCAAATCAGTGAAATAACAGGTTGGGTTTTTCTCAAAATATTCTTTTGCATTGTCGGATCTGAAAATTTTAATTCTGGTATCAAACMGGRTTAGAACAAATTCATGGAATTGCCTCACAAGTCTGGGAATTTCATCACAGGACTTCATAAAAAATATCCAAGTAAATCGTGAAAAATCATTAATGAACAAGATAAAATATTTGTAGCCACCCATAGAAGGTAAGTGGTAAGGCCCCCACACATCCGAGTGCACAATATGGAATGGAGAAGAAGATATTTTATTACTCAAAGGATAACTGCTTCTACAATGTCTTGACAACTCACACGGCTCACAATGAAGACTGGACAGACTAATTCCCTTAAACAGTTCTGGGAATAAATGACTTAATGCTGAAAAAGAAAGATGACCCAAACGAAAATGACATAACATGACTCGACTGATGGACTTTGTAGATGTAGACCCAAAAGCAGCTTTTCCAGGTTGTCCATGGCTCTGTCTAGGAGTGTCCAGTAGATATATTCCATTCGTCTCATGGCCACTCCCAATCACTTTCTGAACCTCAAGATCCTGAAAAACACAGTAGGAAGGAAAGAAGGTTACACAACAGTTCAAGGACTTAGTTAGGCTACTTATAGATAACAAATTTGTATTTAGCTTGGGTACATGAAGAGAAGAAGGAAGTATCAAGGAATCTGTAGCCTTGATAGTTCCCTTGCCGGAAATAGGGGCAAGAGAGCCATCGGCTAGGGTGATTTTGTCACGGCCAGGAAGTAAATTATAAGAAACAAACAAAGTAGAAAGGCTGGTCATATGGTCAGAAGCACCATAATCAATAATCCAAGGGATCCTACGATTACCTGAAATAGTTGCATGATTGGCAGAAGCCCGTATACCTGAATGAGCAAATGTAGAAGAGGTTGAATTTCCTAGAGGGTTGGAAGAAGAGGCCACACCCTCTAGGTGACTGCTCACTAGCAGTCATCTCTCCAGTTAGGCATCTTTCACTATCTGGACCAGCAGCAATATTGGCACTCCCTGCCTTCATATTATCAAACTTCTTTTGAAACCGAAGAGGAAGAAGCTCAGGATGCAATTTCCAACACTTGTCTTTAGTGTGCTTTGGTTTCTTACAATACTCACAAATAATTTCTTTTTTCCTTGAGCTACTTGGAGTCCCTGTAACTCCCTTGGGTTTCACTCCCATATTAGCAAAGTGATCATTTAGACCAGCCCCTTGAACCTGGACAAGTCTCTTGCTTTCTTCACTACTTACCAAGGTATAGGCTTGAGACAATGAAACACTATCATTGGATAAGATATTTTACTTTGTGATGTCATACTCTAGATTGAGCCCTGTCAAAAACTCAACACCTTGTTTCTCTCAACAAGTTTCCTGTAGGTCTTAGCATCATTAGTGGTGTCCCAAGCTACAACTTCTATCAAATCAATTTCCTTCCATAGAGACTTCAGTATTGAGAAATAAACAACTAAAGGTCTCTCCCCCTGTCTCAAATTCTTCACATCACTCCTTAGCTTGTAAGCCCTGGCTACATTTAATTTATGGGAATAGGTTTCAGCAACATTGTCTCAAATTTCCTTTGCTGAATTCATCCACAAATAGTGTTGACTAATCTRWKGTTGCATTGAGTTCACAAGCCATCCAATAACAGTATAATTTTCTTGCATCCATTTTTCATATGATGGATCATCTTCCGAGGGAGCCTTTTTTCTCCCGGAGATAAAACCCCATTTGACTCTATTGCGGATATGAATTTTTACTGATTGTGACCAAGCTAGATAATTAGTTCCATCTAGCTTGACTGTGGTCACAACCAGTAGAGAGTCTACAGAGGCTCCCGGAACCTATCCGGATTCAGCAACATGCTTGTTTTCAACTTCTAAAGGGTTCATCTTCTTAAAATGCTTCGGAATTTTTTTGCAACTTCGAATAGTAATAAATGAAGACAGAAGAAAAATTGCGTTGTGAGTCAACCTCTATGCAGCCGTACTTACTACCTGCGTCATACTTGGAACTTGGGAGAAACAGAGAAATCTCAGCCGCTCCTTGTAGACTTCACAAAGCACCAATCAACTTGAATTGATCTTCAAGATGAAGGATGAGAAGACTTTCGGTCACTGAGCACCCAGGTCAAACTCCTTGTGGGGCCCATAATCAGATTTCTCCAATAGGGTTTTGGGCAACATACTTGAATCTGTTAGGAGAACGACAAAACCAGTCCCCTTCTCTCCAAAAAACCACTAACAACTGGGCTGAAATAGGTTTCTTTAACTATTCATCCGATTTAGTTCTCCATATACACTGTGTATGGGAAAAAAGAAGTGAGAAAAAGAAGTCAAGCCTGCTCTGATACCAAGAAGAAAAACAGCTTTTTGAAAAGAAATGACTGTTTAAAAAGTTGCAGAAAATCAAAAGAAAGTAGCAGAAATCAGGTTTCAAGAAGAGAGAAGAGGAAGAAGGTGGCGGCAACTAGGGTTCAGAGAGAGATTTTCGAACATAATCCCCTCTTACACTCCTAATTCCATTTCATTAAGTTAAACTTTAGTAATTTACAGAAAGGCGCTTGGTTGGGCAGAAAATTAAAAAAGATAACATAAGAAAGAATAAGAGCCCAGATTAAGGCCCATTACAGCAAAGAACATACAAGATAAAAAAAGATAAACAGCCTATGGACCATTCGGCCCATCTTCTCTACAAGTGTTTTGCTGGAGGCTTCTTCCACCACTCCCTTATATTAAGTGTTTTGCTCAATCTCTTTCTCTCATAGCATGTCTATGATGCCATGGGCCTTGAGTGTTTTGCTCAATCTAGTTCTTCAACTCATGTAGACTCCCCAATCCCCATTCTATCAACCCCAAGTATATGGTTAGCATTGACCCATTGCTGTTTCTAAGCACACCACCCACACCTAATGGTCCAGGATTCTGAAGATTGCACCCATCAAAGTTGAATTTGGTTTGGACATTTAAAAGGGGCTCCAACACAGAGTAGATCTTGTGATGGAGGATGCTACATTCTGCCAGTTTCTAATGATATCTCCTGTAGAGGAATTGCCAAGGAGATCTGGAGGATTTATTCAATGTGCTTTTATTGTGATAGTTTCCAATGTCTTCCTTAGACCTTAAACATGCTTATGTTTCTCTCTTCCAAATCAATCATATTGCTGCTGCCTTGTGTATCTCCACATTATTCTCCTCCTTTTCTTTTGTAATGTGAAGAAAGATGACTTGAAGAAGCTTTCCACATTAGCTGGTTGGTTGTTTGCTCCTGCCTCCTAATACAGCAACTCCCTCCCCACTTCCTCTCCTGTTCTAATCCTGTGGCAAAAGAGGCGGTTTCAGCCCTTGGGGAGTCCCCTTTTCAATTCATGCTTGCCATAATAGTTTTGATGTTCATTTTGTTTATTATGATGCATATGCTGTATTTTTTGTCTTCATAATTAATGTTTAATGTTTGTGGTCCCCCCCCCAATTCCATTCTGGGGTTTCCTTTGACTTTTATAAAGCCTGTGGTGGATGCGTTTGATCCAAGGTTATTGGTAGCACCAGCCACCTTCCACACAATAGACTTCACTTCGATTAAGGTATGAATCGGCTCATGTGAAAATGCTTCTTCGGAATGGTTCCAGTTTCTCATTTTTATATCCCTTGAATACAATTTTCTTCTCTTAGTGCACATTCAAGGAGTAAGATTGTTGCTTCTGAAGGTAAAAGTAATTGTGTTCATCTTTTGAAATTTTGTAGGAAGAAGATCTATATGAAATTGATATCCCACTTAGTTTTATTGCCTCTGTGGGCACTAGAGTGCATGGGCTGGCATGCTGGTTTGATGTTTTGTTCAATGGGAGGTAATCGTGAGGTCTTACTTTGTAATTGTGTAATTTTACAGCTTTCTTGTGCCTTTCTTTTCCATATAGTAGCATGCTTTTCTTCTTGCATTGCAAGTACTATCTGCATCTAATTATCAAATTGGTTTTATCTTCAGTACGGTACAGAGGTGGCTAACCACCGCTCCTGGTGCACCTACAACTCATTGGTATCAACTACGTTGTGTTCTCTCTCAGCCTATGTATGTCATGGCTGGCCAAGAAATTACAGGACGACTCCACATGGTTGCCCACAATGCTCAGAGTTATACAATGTATCTAACTATGTCAGGTTGGCCTATTTGTTTCCATTTGTTTGAATTGCATTGGTATTGATGAAAGGCTGCATTAGTTCCTAACATGTTGCAAGTTTCTTATACCAGCTAAAATGTGGGGAGCTGGTGCTGAACAAGGGGGAATTCTACAGACTTCATCATGCAAACTTGATCTCAAAGAGCCATACTATCGTATGTCCCAACCACAGGCATATGCATGGTCCCAAGATCAGCAGCCACATCAATTAGTACATGCACAGGTATGCTTCTTGTCACATGCAAGTTTCTGGGGATAAAGTCTGGTTTTCTGTTCTAAATGTTGAGTTGATTATAGTGATTAACAGGGTTACAAGAATGCATTGTATGACTTTTACCTCAGAAGCAAACCCACCCAGGTGGCAGGTGCAATGGCCCTGGAGTCTAAACTTGCCCCCAATTTCTAACCCCCTTTAATGCTTTGCAATCTAACTGTCTGCCACTTATAAATACTCCTGGTTGTGAACAAGCTGAGCTTTGCCCAGCAGCAACCTCATGATTGCTTTGTGATGTTTCTTGGTCACTAGTCTTGGTTTTTACCTCCAGTCCTGATACCACCTCAAACCAGAAAAGTAAATATTTAAAGTTACGTACCTGTTCCACCTCGACATCACAGAAAAAGAGTGTATCATCTGTGAACTGCAAGAGGCACCTTCAAACCATTGTTACTGACCTCAAAACCCTCTAGATATCCTGAAACCAAGGCTTTTTCAACCGTCCTGCTCATAGGGTCTCCCTGTCTCAATCCTCTTGAGATTTTGAGTTGTCCTTTCACTGAACCATTAGTCAGAATTGAAAGGCTGGGTGTGGTAGTGCATACATATTTTTATCCAATTCCATTTGGATTCGAAGTGCATCCTTGCCAGCGTGTAGTCTAGAAAGGCCCAATTCACATGGTCATAAGCCTTTTCCAATTCAATTTTGCAAACCAAACCTCTCTTCCCGCTTCTTGAATCAATGATTTCATCTGCAATGAGGACTCCATCATAAATATGTTTATTGTGGACAAAAGCCCCTTAATAACCAGAGATGAGAGAATCTATCACTACACGTAGCCTTGATGAAGGAAGAATTTCAAGCTCCTCTCTAGAGTTGCTGAACTATGAAATTCTTCTAGGACCTTGAGCAAATCTGTCTTGATTAAACCCCAATGTTTCTCATAAAACTAGATGGCTATCCCATCCTGGCCAGGTGCCGTCTCCCTTTCCATTTCATCAATAGCTGCTTTTCTAGCTCTGAAAATGGCTTTTGGTTTGCCTCTACCATTTACTACTTTAGCTTTATATAGTGGCTATCAGCATTCCAAGGGTCTGTGTGGTTCACAGTTGGAATCGGAATCGGAATCAGCAGGAATGGGATTTAATTCCCAAGGGAGAGGCAGGGAATGGTCATTTCCTCAAATGGGGGAATGCCATTACAGCAGGAATGGGAATGGGATTCCGACTCTGCCCAACAAAACAGTTGGAATCGGAATAGCCCATACTATTCCAACTTGGTATGGAGACCCCTATTTCTGTGAACCAAACGGAGTCTAAATTGCTGAAATAAAATAGATTACAGGTCATGGAATACCTTAAGTTTGCAGCTATTGACACGTTTGCTTTGTTTAAGAATGAAAATAGAAAATGACTTTTATTTAACAAAGAGAGCTGGACTAATGTTTCAACCACCCCCCCCTTCCATCAGGAAATCTTCAGTCATATTTGTGAATTACAAGTTGGTTGCATTTTTCATGGATTTACCACTATATTTCTATTCACATATCTTGAGCTGGAGTCACCTTTTTGTTTTACCTCTAACAGGATATACCCATTCAATCTCAGGATGTGGTCGGACCTGGCTTAACACCACCATCCCAGAATTCAGCAGCTCCACTGAATCGATGACGAAAGTTCTCTTTTTACCAGGGAGAAGGGGTTGCGGTTGAGCCCAGTTAGGCAATCATGTTTGTAACATATACGTGCTTTTCACCTTCGAGATTGCGGGGGTATCAAATCAAGCCCTCGTCTAGTTACAGGCTTACAGCCCGAAACAGTGCATGCATTGCATTTGTAAATTATACAAATCTTTTTGTACGGTGGTTGGATTGGATGCTCAGTGGTTCTATTCAATGTCGTCATAATTAAACTTAAGCCAAACGATTTATCAGATTTCTATCAACTTTCTCCGTTTCTTAGATTTTATTATGTAATGGAATTGGCAAAATTGTTCGCTCATGGGGTGGACCCTAGCTTTTGAGCTTAACGTTTGTTTTTTCTTCGGCCTCGTTTGTTTTCCTTTTGGCCATTTACCCAGTCAAGTCACCTGTGGTATTTTGTTTTCCAAGTGAGAAAATGTCCATTTTAGTCTTAAAGGACAATATTGACCCATCATCATGTACTGGCAAATTTCCTCGCAGGTGGTGGAAAAGCTGTTTATCCACTTGAGGGATACCGGGGTAATTTTTCTGGGAATCCTACATGAATCGGTCAATGGGAAATTGGGAACCATAATCTTATGAACCGATTTTCCCCTTTCAGAATCTGTGTAATGAACAGGGCATCATTATATATTACCCTTCTTTTCCATTAAACCGTTTTCCGTTTCCACCAAGAAGTTGAAAATAATGGGACACTGCATATGCTACGTCAATGCAAAAAATGCAAGCTTGAGACTAACCCCATGTTCTACTGTTATTCTGTGATGAGTAGTGTTGATAATTGAAGTGACCCATTAACCATCTACCATTCCTCGCTCCTGTTCTAGGGGTTTAGGTCCCGATACAGAGTTCGCTGCCTAGTCCCATCTCAGTAAATTCGGTTTGTAACCTTGCCCAAGGTGAACAATAACAAGGTAATGCCAACGTTGACCTCTGAAAACTAGCAATACTGCAAATCAAAATAGATGACCAATTGTTGGTTTTGAGTTCTTTTATTATCTGTCATTTTTATTTCATGCTTTATGGCTCACTAAACTCTCCTATTAAATTCCCAAGCTTGCTTGCTTGCTTTCTTTCTTTTTTTTTTTTTGCAACTTTACTCCACTTATCCTCTATATTACACCAACCCAGCGCTCTCTGTTCCATGCGGCACTCACAAAAACATTGATATTCTTAGAGTTGCTGTTGTTTTGAACTCTCCCTCTCCTATTGCTCTCTCTCTCTCTTGAAAAGGGTGTGACTATTGTTGACAAAGCAAGGTTCAAAATATTGCAACGTTGAATCCACTGAAATCAGGATTAGGATTTAAAAGGATTAGGGGGTCTCATTCCTTCGTCTTAACTAATCATAAAACGTCATAATGAAAAAGAAATTAAAAACATCATAAGAGTGGTAATCATTCAGGCAAGGATCAAAATATTGACGTCTGGTACTAAAAATTGGGTATCGGTGCCTATTGATAATTTATTGAGTACAAGAGGTTGTCTTCTATCATTCCAAAATCCAAACTTTGCGTATATAAATGTATCCATGAATTTTTATGACCTTTGATACAGATTCAAGGTGGTATTCAACAAATTTCACGAGCTTTGATTGGTCAGACCTATTCTCCTATCATGTCTTTCTCTTTCATCAATTCATATAGATACGTGTGGACTATTATTCCAAAGGGTTGGACCATGGTGCCGGAAATAAATGATACAACAAAAACTTTCGACCAATCAACCCGTGTCATAACTCATAAGGTAAAAGACTTGAACCTTCCCTAGGATTTATATTAAATACTAAGACCTCCTTTCTCTTTACAAAAATGAATAAAACTTCCCCTGTAAAGAAGATCAGATACCGTGCAGGATTAAGCAACGATGGAAGAAAGAAAAGTGGGTTTTCTTTGCGTTTTCATCAAATTTCATGGCGGTTTTTTTTTTTTTTTTGTTAAAACAGATAACAAACAGAGAACAGATACAAACTGAGCACAGAAACAGAAGAACTACTAAAACTTAAAACCAATTTTTTTTTAAAAGAGGCAGCTTTCATTCATTGGTAGGGCTAGAATATATATACAGATTGCTGTTTGGAGTAGATACTATGGAAATTGCTCTTTTACATGCTGTGTATGCTAAAGTATGAGCAGCTTGATTGTTAGTTCTATTTACATATACCAAAAAAAGTTTAGTAAAAGCCTTCAGAAGTTTTGCCATCTGTGGTTGATGTAACTTTTCGATCCAGAGGTTGGGTTTTGATACATTTTGCAAAAAAGACATAAGCTGCATGGAGTCACTCTAAACTGCTATTGTAGTTACTTCTTGTGCTTGAGCTGCCTCTAAACCTGCAATTAAAGCCTTTAGTTTTGCATCATAAGGGCTGATTGCCAGCATGGTTTACCTTCAAAGATGGCTTTATCTCTGGACGATTGTTTGAGGATGAAAGTTCGTCCTGCACCTCCTGTTACAGGATCATATGAACCATCAATTTGTAGTGTAGCCACTCCGTTAGGGGGGTTTTCTGAGGACTGAACATCTGCGGAACTACCTAAATACTGTTGCCCATCTTGTGCTTGGTAAGTTTTCCACTTTTTTAATATTTCCTGGGGGGTGTATGTGATATTATCGAAGTGTTTTTTGTTTCTAGAATAGGATGCACCCTCTCCCAAAGACTTCCACGGCTTCTGTTTTGAATGTGTGATCTTGAGCTTCTGGTACCAATGCAGAAGAATTGTATGGGCTGGCTGATTGGTTATCATATATGGGTTTAGCCTAACCTGGGCTGAGCACCATATTGCTCGGGTGAAGTGGTAGTGAAAGAAAAGGTGATGAAAAGACTTAGTCTCACTTGAGCACAGCACACATGTTAAATCCGATGGAGTTAACCGGTGGTGACTTTTGTCTTTTGTTGGTATCCCTTCCCATAACATTTTCCATATAAACAATTGGAACCTGTATGGGATTTTCAACTTCCACAGTAGTTTCCATTCGAAGAAAGATGATGATGATGAACTCTCCTCTGTGGAGAGGACATGATACACTGAACTGATTGTGTATTTCCCTGATTTTGTTAATTCCAGATGGGTGTCTTTCTCGAACTCATTGTTGGGAGAGATGCTTAATATATGGGGTATTGAATGTTGATCTGCATACTGTTGCAATGATGACTGGTTGCATTCTCCACTTGGCCTTAACAAGTCGCACACCCTGACATGTGGGACATGTTGGGCATTTTGACCTGGCTTTGGTAGCCCTCCATTTGTTGTGGGGATCCAAGAGTCCTCAAAAGCCAATATATTAGACCCACCCTTAATCATCCACATAATATTTGGTTTGAGGGTTGGCAGGAGCTTCTGAGTATGCCACCACCAAGTGGAGCTATTCGTTTTTTATTTTCTTGCTGTGTTTTGGGGTAGTATTTCTGTTTAATCTGTGACCTCCACAAGCTGTTTGGGAAAGCAATTATTCGTCATATCTGTTTGCTAAACAAGGCTTTGTTCATTAGAGCACTTTGTCTGAAGCCAAAGTCCACCGTAAATTTTAGGGAGGCACAGTTTGCTCCAAGAGATGGTGTGTCTCGACTGAGGGTTCCACCAGAAATCATGGACCAATTTGTCCAAGGATTTGTGGAATTTTGGGGGGAGTAATGTTGATGTCATTTGATACTATGGGATGGGTTGGAGTACTGATTTTACAAGGGTGGTTTTGCCTGTTGGGATGGCAGGTTTGAGCTCCAAGTTTTGAATTTTGATAATATATATATATATATATTTTTTTTTCTGGAGCTCCTTTTGTGTGTTGGCTTCTCTGTCATGTGACAACAATCGCACACCAGGTATTTGGTCCCAAGTAATGGCTGCTTCACTTTGAGTACATGGCTGATGATTTTCCTATGATGCCTTGGCACATTTGTATTGAATGTTACTGAGGACTTACCCAGATTGGAGTTTTGTCCTGAGAGAAATTCAAAATGTTGGAGGGTTTTATTGAGCTCTTTTATTTGTTTGAGTTCAGCTCTACAAAAGAAGATACAATCATCTGCAAATAGAAGATGTGTGATGGGGGTACTATCCTTGGTTAGTGAAATTCCCTATAGTTGGTTGAGAGCTGCAGCTTTATGTAGTAGCTGAGAAGGGACCTCCATACTTATTATGAAAAGGTACGGAGAGAGTGGATCTCTTTGTCGTAACCCCCTATTGAGCTGAAAAGATTCATATGTTTCTCCTCCYAACTTCATTGAGAACTTTGGAGTAGATATATATTGATATAGTAGGTTGCACCACTTTTCGGGAAATTTCATGTATCTTAGTACCTCTATGATGAAATTCCTCCCCATTTTGTCAAAAGCTTTCAACGTGTCAGTTTCAAAGCTATTGCACCCTTCCCTTTTTTCCATGATTTCATTTGATAAAGGATCTCTTTTGTTAATAAAATATTGTCGGTTCTTGAGGAAACCTGATTGGTATGGGGAGATGATGTCCTATAGAATCGGTTGCCTTCTCATGACTAACCACTTGGAGATGATCTTATAACTGACATTACACAGATTGATGGGTCTATAGCAAGTGACATCCACTGGTGATTTGTTTTTTGGGACAAACACTAAGTTGGTATCATTGATTCCTTCTGGAAACTTCCCTGTGTTGTAGAAATTTGTAACCATTTGGTGAATATCCTAGTGGTGTTGATAGAAGTGAGTTGTAAACCCGTCTTGCCCTGGGGTTTATGTGGGTTCATCTGCTGCACTACTGCAGCAATCTCTTCCATTGTAGGTGGGTGCAAGAGATTAAGAGAATTTGCGATTACTCCTGTGAGATACAAGGTAGGGGGATGTTGGAGATTAAGCTTGGGTTAAAGTCTTCCTTTACTCCATTGATTGCCCTCATAGAGTGTTTGAAAACTTTGGCTATTTGTTGTTTGTTTGATGTCCACTCTCCATTTGGTTTCTTAATCATCCAGGCAATATCATTCTTGGTATTTTTATAGTTTTGCATGTGGTGGAAAAAAATTGTGTTCCTGTCTCCTTCTTGTAGCCAGAGTTCTTTGTTCTTTGGATTTTAACTTCCAGAGTTGTTCTTCCTTCTGTAACCAATATTGATATTGTCTTTTTAGATTTTGCAGTTATTTTTCTTCCCTGGCTGATAGAAGTTTGAGTTGCATTTCAGCAATTTGGAGAGCAAGAGTTTGGAGGTGATGCTGTATATACCCAAAAGAGGATTTGTTCCATGCTTGCAATGCTTGTTTGCAAGATTGCAGTTGCCTTTGAACTGTATGACAATTCTAGACATTCCAAGCTTCTGCAATTATGGATTTA